TCAAAGCACAGATTTTTTAAGCAGTAGAGAGATGCTGGCATGTATAAAGGCTGACAGAGGATCGGGTGAGGGGAGCAGTGAAAAGCTGCTAGAAAAGAAATAGAAACTGATTATGTCAGGTTCTGGAGCAAATGGAAGAGAATGGAACCTAGAACACGAGTGGAGGAATTGGCCTGAGGGAAGAAAAAGCCCCCTCCTACCCTGCAACACGAAGGAGAGAAATCAGTTTAAAGGCATGGGGTTTGCAAGTTGTGGGGAGTTCCACTCTTATGGCTTCTATTTGTTTTTTGGTTTGGGGGGGTTGTATTTTTTTGAAGCAGGAAGTAAAGTCTGAAGGTAAAGAACATTGGAAAGAAACACATCATGGAAGAGACAAAATGGATCATAAAAATAGGACTGCTGGGCAGGGTGGAAAATAATCCTCAATTTGTGATGATGCCCATCTGCTCTACTACACAACATTCTCTAACAGGGCTTGCCTGCTTGGGTGATGGGTGCTATCAAAAAACCTGAGCCTGAGGACGTCAGAATGAACAGGCTTCCCAGAAGAAGCACTCTTAGAACTGAAGGATCAAAACAAGACTCCAATGGGCACAGGACCAATATTCCTGGTGACAAAAGTAGCATGGGCAAAGGCCCTGATGCAGGAAGGGGCAAGGATCCTTAGAAAGATCATGGTGATAGGAGCTCAAAAGGCAGAAGGAAGCATGAGATGAGACTAGCAGCCAGAGGCCAGACTGGGGGAGAGGGAAGTAGGTGCCTGAAAGCCATGCTGAGGCTTTCTTGGTCTTTGTTTTCAAGAATAGGATATCTCCTAAGGGTGTTAAACCAGCGCAGACCAGGAGGGCTCCTCCCCATACCAACCCTGGGACTTTGGACTTGGGGAACCTGTTTGCTGAGGAAAAAAAGAGATAAACCAGTCTATCTCACACTAGAATGTTGAAAGGATTAGATGACACTTTGCATGAAAATAGCCAAGTGCCTAGACATCTTCCAGGTCTCAAATGACAAGCCCTCTGAACCTGTCCCTTTCTGCCCAGTTCCATCACAAGCCCTCTGACATCTAAGTGCCAGTCTGCATCTTTCTCCTTGTATGAACCTAGGACTGTGGCCAGCACATAGTAGGCCCTCAATAAATGCTTGCTGATGGATCATCTCTAAGCCAAGGGTTATCAAAAGCCTGGTCAAGCAACTTAGGGAATGCAGGCATTTCAGTTTCTGAGCTGTATCCCGATGGCTACCATAAACTTCTCCTGTGTTTCCCTGTGGCTGCACCTGGTGCACAGTGGGCCTGCAGCCATCACTTCCTGAATAGGAAGACCTCTGTGACAGGACTCCAGCAGGTTAAGGCTATCTTCTGAGATCCTCCACCATTTCCGAGAGGACTGAGTCTTAGGGGGCAGCTGTTCAACAGCGCTCCAACTCATCGGCAGCACACAGGTTTTAAAACAATAATAAGTTGAAATGTACTCACCAAGAAAGCCACCGACCTACAAAGAAAATCTTATCGCTGATCTTGCAATGAGCACCAACCTCCCTTTGCAAGAGCTGAGATCAAAAGATAAAGAAGCTATCAAAAAGCCATCTGCCCACTTAAAATAATATCACAAGTCATGTTAAGAACCACAGACCTGGGGCCAGATACCAAAACAATTGTCTGAACGGGCTGTTTCAATTTCTCCTTAAAACCACCCATGTATTTTAAAAGAAAAACACCCTCTCCACCCACCTTGGCCCTGCGAGCTTTTGATTTCTGTTCCCTTCCTTTCACACTCTAAAATGACCAAACTCCATTACCCGAACTGTTGCGTCTTACAGACAACTCCCACGACACCCAGCTGGGATGACGACTTGAGAAAAGGTGATTCTTGGACACTGGAACGGCTCAATATCTTGGATCTGGGTGGTGGTTACACAAGGGCAGATATGTAAAAATCCACTGAGCCCTACACTTAAAATTGGTATACTTTATGTAGCTATCCCTCAATAAAGAAAAACAAGCAAGCAAGCAAACAAACAAAAACAGAAGAGCAAAGCATAACATGCCAAGAACACCAGGAGCAAAATGCACAATTTGCCCTGAATCCTACCAGGCCTTCAAAAGAAACCATTTAAAAAAAATTTGCCCCTGGTCCCATCACTCACTAGCTGAGTGAAACTGAACGAACTGGCTTACCTCTCTGACCTACCTCTTTCCCCCTCTATTAAATGGGCATAATCATAGCACCTATAGCATACAGCATGCACAGCAGCAGGACACAAGAGAGAATGAACTCGAAGCTCTTAGCAGATATTAGTACATGCTGGCCACTGTTATTTTTTGCAGCTACCATCAAGCTTCAGTTACCTTGCCAATGTTTGCTGCGTCCAATCCAACCAAAGTGACTTTCATTCTCCTTTAGCAGATGAGAATACTGAGGCAAGGACACACAGCTGGTGACAGGCAGAGCAGAGTTTGGGAGGAGAATCGAAGGAACTGTACATGTGATTAAGTACTGACACTAGCTCACCCCTATATGGCACTACTATGAGCTAAGCTAGGTTCTTTTACTCATCTCCTGTGAAGAAGGTATAATTATTTGTTTTACAGATGAGGGTACTGAGACACAATGCAGGTTGGCCAAGATTACAAGGCTAATATAAAGGGGAGATATGGGATTTGAACCCAAGTACTGATCCAGAATCTATACTCTTAATTAATGCTGTAAGGAAAGCCATGCTGCTCGTCCCCTTAGACTAAGTTTCAGGTTACTATGGGTCTCACAGGCTGAGGTAAGTGGGTGCTTGCCTGCTTGCTCAAGTACCAGGCACATCTGCCCACCAACTGAGCTAGATCGTTCTGAACAACTCACAGCCCAAGGCCTTGCCAGGACCACATCTTGCAGCCAGAGGCTACTGAGCAAGTATATACAAGGTCCAAAAAGCACTTTCCCATTCCCATTTCCAGTCCTCTTATGACCAGCAAAATGTATTTCCCACACATGCATGAATCTACTTATCTCAGACTAGACTTAGTTGACCCCCCAAAAGAATCAGGCCTATGTGCTATAACTTGAACTCAAAGCTTGATAGAGAAAACCTAGAATCTTGTCTCAGAGGCTTTTGGGGTTAACTGGCTCTTTTTACCAGGTGGCATGGCAAAACCAAAGGACAAGACCTTCAAGTCCAGGCCCATCTGATTCTGCCTCTGCCACAACCAATGCCTTGCATTGAGAGGATGGGCTCAACCACTTGTCTCAACAGGAAGCCTCAGACTTGATTAGAGCATAACAGTAAAGAGGGTGCACAGGCTTCAAGGTTAGTCATGGCCGAAATGAAAAGTCAGGCACCATCACATTTCTCTCTCTGGAGCCCTGGTTTCCCACTGTCAAATGGGGGTCAGATTCCCTGCCCCGGTAACTAGCAAGGTACCTCGTGACACTACCATGTCTCAGCAGTTCTCTACACTCCATCACAGTCTACCATTCACACCAAGCTCATTCCCACCTCAGGACTTTTGTACTTGCTGTTCTGCCTATAACACCCTTACTCCCATGTGTGCATAACTGCTCATCATCATTCAGGACTCAGTTTAAATGGCACCTCCTCAGGAAAGTCCTCCTCCCTTTCCTTTTCTACAAATTCTCTTCCTCCACATCTGTGGATAATTCTTAACATCATACAGGACTCACCTCCTCAAAAGCCCTCCATGAATACCCTAAGATAGATATTCCCTCCCAAATTGCCTCCCCTTACTCAATTTTACTTTCCTCTCAGCAGTTAACCTTATCCCTGTATTTCTTATCTGCTTTTTTCCCCCCAACTGTCTCCCATAGGAACCTGTAAGATCCTTGAGGGCAGGAAAGATGTCTTATTCAGGGATTTACAGTGGAATTCAATAAATGAATGAATAAAACCCCAGTAATACAGAGCCTAGCACATGTATGGCTTCTTATCACTCTTTGACTGACTGGCTGAATGTACCCTCCTCCCTGTCCTGGAGAGCAGGACCAAGGGGTTCCTGGGTCAGGACGTTTGTCTGCCATCCTGGACACAGCCCTGCGTTGGCGGAGGTGGCGCTGGCAGACATTACCTGCGCCTCACCGGCTTCATGCAGCTCTTCAGCTGCCTGACCTCAGCCTCCACAGGACCCTGGGACTCGGGCTGTGGCTCCAGCTGTGGCAGCTGCTGCTGCTGGGGCAGCCCTTCAGCATCAGTGGGTGTGGGAGCGGGTGCGATCCGGAGCAGGACTGTGTAGTTGCGGCCGTGGTTGTTGGCCCAGAAAGTGCCCTCGGGCGTCTCATAGCGCACCACGAAGTCCAGGCGCGCCCCATCACCCGCACCCTCAGCAAAGGGCAGCTGGAAGGCAAAGCGGTCGGTGCTGCCGCCATCGTCGGGCGAGGATGCGGACACCTGGCCAGAGACCAGGCCAAGGCCCGAATCCAGGATGGGATCTCCTGTTCCTGGTCCTCCCGCTCCTGGCCCCGGCGGGCTGCGCGGGACGTAGCGCGCTGGGTGGTCGCAGAAAGATGCCCAGCCGTCGTGTGAGGCCCGCACGTGCACCGCCTTCTCGAAGGAGCGGTTCAGCACGCGCACCAACCCGCGCAGCACAGGTGGGCGCCCCCCCGGCACCCACACCCCGGCAACCCCGGGGACCGCTCCCGGAGGCGGCAGCAGCGCCTCCAGCTCCACCATGACGCGCCCCAAGCGCTCCAGACGGCCCGGTGCAGGCGGCAGCGAAAATGTGGGCACCAAGTAAAAACCCCCGCCAGCGGGGACGGGGCACAGCGGTGAGGGCTCGGGGCAAGCCTCCTCTTCCTCCTCCCCTTCATCCCCATCCTCGCCATCGTCGTCCTCGTCAACCCCTCCGCCATCGCCATCTTGCCCGGCCACCGCCGCCATCTTGCCCGCCCCAGGCCCGCCCCACGGCCGGTAGCGGCGCAGCTGCGCCAACGGCAACCCCAGGGCCTCATCTGCGAACAGCACCCTCCGCGGGGCCACCGCTGCCTCGACAGAGGTGCGGGGCTCGCCCGCGGCCGGCGAGGGGGGCGCAGGAGGCCGCAGCGGGGGCTCCACAGGGGCCGTACGCGCCATATCGGCGGCGGCGGCGGCACCGACGGCACCGGCAGCGGTACGGGCGGGGGCAGGGCCTGAAGGGGCTTAGCAGCCAATGGGAAGGCCTGAGCGGGGGTAGGCAGCTAGATGAAGACAGGTGTATCAGACAGCCAATGGGAAGCCGCGCATCGGTGACGTAGCCGGTGAATCAAGTGCAGGAGAAGCACACAGCCAATAGGAATGCCCGAGAGTGGGCGGTGTAGGAGGCGGGATAATCGGTGAATCAATGGGGAGGACTGAATGGGGGTGTAGGGTCTGAGATAGTGAAGTACAACAGCTAATGAGGACGTACGGGCGGGACTGGTCTCTGGGCGGCGGGGAAATGGAAGGGCTACAGGCGATGGGGGCAGCAGGCAGCAGACAGAGAGGTCCGAAAAGTAGGAGATCCCAGGATTGCGTAGGCAGGTAATGGGATGGAAGCTAGAGACAGAGAAAAACCAATGAGGAGCCATGCGCCAAAAGCGTAGAGAAGGGGTGACGATAATGGCCAATGGTGATTCTCGTGAGCTTGCACGAGCATTCAAGGGGCGGTGCCAGAGCGGAATTAGCCAATATGGAGGCCGCAAGAAACCGGAGAGGGTGTATGAGTGCCTTGGTGGCGGGACTGGAGGGGCAGAACCAATGGGGGTGGGTGGCGAAGGCGGGAGCAGCAAGGAAGAGAGATGGCAGCTAGCCAATAGAGGAGCCAGAGCTAAGTGGAACCTTCAAAGGGCAGTGTTAAGTGACACTAGGACGAGACGTGAAAGAGCAGAGCCAACTGGAATGTTATAGGTGGCGTGAGGGAGAGGATGAAAAGTCAATAAGGAAGCCAGACGAAAGGACAGTGCGTAGGAGTCTATGGGCTGTAGGGTAGTCAAGAAACAGAACATTTACCTTCTCCTTGACCCTCTGTGACTGCCCTCTGCCCCAAGCTGTGAATCCCCACAGCCCCTGAAGACTTAGACTGCACCCTAGTGTGAGATCTAAGAAAGCAAAACGGACTCTCCTGTCGCAGTTGCTGGATGTCTTTGGCCCACTTCCAAGCCTGTGCTTGAGTGCCACTAGCCAAGAATGCCCCTAATTGTCATCCTCAGCATTCTCCAGGACTTGGCACCATAACTGAATGAATGGCCAAGTGAGAAATAAAACTTTTTTGGAAGATTAGCTTTTTCTAATCAGGTCAGCAAAAACACTGAGCCTCGCTATGCCAAAATTTGATTGGGCATGTTGGCAGGCACTGACTAAAGTAATCGCAAATCCAAGCCCTGTCTTTCTTGTCCGACTTGGCCCTGCACACCTTACATGGCCTCACCTCCTTTCTGTCTCCATCTCTTCTACCATTCCCTCTCCCAAGAGCACTATTACTTCTGCTTCCTCCATCTAGTCAATTCCTTCCACTCTCCCTCTGAGGTCTCACCTCCTGTCAGAACTGAATTGTAGTTTTTTTCCACGGAACATATCCAATCATACATTTCCTTTTCATCCTGGAAGGATTTACTGAACACCTACTGTATGCAAGGCTTTGACCCACAGCATCCCTAGGAGAAAGTCTCCGCAGCAGCCACCGTCCTCCCCTTCCCTCACATGTCTCAGTGTCCGAGGGTCATGGGTCAGGGAGGAATATGTTCCACTGTGCAGTATGTTCCACTGCACATAGGAGAAAAATCATGAAAAAATGAGGGTTTAAATGAGATAGAACTTTATTTTTTATCACCTAAAAGTCCAAACTGGTAAGTAGTCCAGGGACTCCTTCCTGCCTACCCACTTAGGGCATTGTCTGTGTCCAAGTCTAGCCCCCAGACTCTCATCCTTCAACAGATCCTATCAGCTCTCCATTTACAACATTTCCCGAATCCACTTCCTTACCCACTCCACTGCCAACATCGTCATCAGTCATTTGAACTATTGAAGTAGCCTCCCTCTCTCTGGTCCCTCTGCTTCTACTCTCACTCCTATAGTCAGTTCTATACTCAACAATTAGAGGAATCCATATGGGAAATATAGAATCTAAAGAACTTGTGACACATGGACATGAACTAAAGGGGGGGAATGAGGGGAGTGGGTGTGCAGGGTGGAGGGGAATGAAGAGGGGGAAATAGAACAAGTGTAAAGGCATAATCAATAAAATATATTAAAAAACAATTAGAGGAATCCTGTTAAATTTCAAGACAGTTCATGTCTCTCATCTGCTCACAATTCTTCTGTGGACTCCTCCCCACTCAGAATAAAAGCCAAAGCCCTCGCCATGGGTTATGAGATCTTGCATCAGCTAACCCCCCACCCTTGTCCACTCTGACCTCACCTCCTAGCCAGCCCTCTTCCTCTCATTCACACTACTTTGGCCATATGGACCTCCTTGGTACACCTTACACAAACCAGGCATACTCCCACCTCAGAGCCTTTGCACTGGCTATTTCATCTGGAATTACTCAGATGTATACATGGCTCTCTCCCTTATTTTTTTCAAGTCTTTGTCAAAGGCCCCCTTCTCTGGGGATTTTCACCCACCACTTTATTTAATCCTGCCAATTGTCCCTCAGAAGCCTTCATTTGTGAGGATGTAGCCCAGTACAGAGAAGAGGTGGTGAACTCTGCTCCTCTCTGCCTACCTGACCCCCAGCTCTCACTCTGCAAGGATCCTGTCTTTCAGCAGCAGCAGCAGCAGCAGCAGCATCACACCTCCCCACCCTGAGATCCACTCAGGTAGCCTCCAGGGACTCTTTGGGCCACTGCTCTCACTCAGTTTTCCTCCTATTTCTCTTGCCACTCCTCTGACAGTAAGGGAGAGATCATCTGAAAGGGCATAAGAGGGGTTCATTTCATACCTCTAACCCTGAAAGAGAAAACCAGCTCCTCACGAGGGGCAGGACCTGGGGCAGAGAATGAAACCTTGGCTTCTAGAATTGGCCTGGTTAATAGTTGCATAGCAGGTGTAAGAAATGTTCAGGCCCAAGTCCACAGGGATCAAAGGGTCATTAACCTTGGGGACATCTCTAAAGTTAGCTTCCAAGGCTCCTTTTTGACAAACACAATCCTCACCCTCTCTTGCTCCCAACTATAAGCCACATCTCTATTAAGCCCCTGCTGTACAAAGGGTCCCTAAAGGTCTCAACCTGAGGACCTCATCCCACCTTGGTGTATCCCCTGGATGCCTGGCACTCGGGCCACCTTTGGGTCGCAGATGTGTCCCACCAACTCAGAAGCCTCAACCAGTGAAAGTTTTGTTTTGAACTAATGGTAGGGAGGGTTGGGTTTTTTTTTTTTTAATTGTCATTGTAGGCTGATTTTTTTAGATCTTTTTTTTCTATTCACCTTTTTTTTTTTTTTTTTCTTATCTTCACAAAGCCATACCATCAGGCCCCCTCTGGGCTTTTCCACAAAGGTGAGTCTGAGTTGAGGAAAAGAGGCTCTCCTTTTTTTTTTTTTTTTTTTGAGGGCTTGGAAAGTGAGGGGAGAAAAGGAGGCAAAGGGGTGAAGGGGTGGATCTCAGCCACTATGTTTGTGCCATGTGAATAAAAAGATGTTTCCGATTTCTCTTTTCCAGGCTTGAAACTGCTCTTGCAGATGGGTTGGACTGAACAATGGATGACAGAATCCCAGGCCATGTAGTGTTCTGGGGAACTGGGGACTGCAAGTTTCAGCCACGGCCTGTCAGGAGAAGCCCCTGGACACTGGTTTCCCCTGTTGAGCATTGTTTGGAGCGGATGCTCGCTGAGGTGAGGAAATGCGACCACCAGTCCTTGGACAACCTTAAAACTGCACAAACTTCAAGCCCCCCAGAAGAATTTTAGAACCTGCCTGTAACTGCACCCTAGAATTTAAAACCTGACACTGTCGGGCTCAAGGAAACTTGGGAGTTTCAAAGCCTGGTACCAAGGAAGACAGGGCCTCCACTCGCCAGCTCTGTGATCTGGAACAAGTTTTTTGACTACTTTGTGCCTCTTCTCCGCCTGTACAATGGCCATGATGACAAGATGGACCTCAACAGGCTTTGGTGAGGATTGAATGTGACCATTTCTGAGAAGTGTTCAGCACTGAGTCTGGCACACTGAGAATTCAAGATAAATCTCAGCTACAGGGATGTTGGCAGATATTTGGAATCCTAAAACCTTGGAAATTTTGATTTTTTTTTTTTTTTTGAAGGGCTGAGGGCCTCGGCAGCGTCAGGCCGTGGTGTCCCTGACTACGAGAGTTGGGTTCTGTGAGGATGAGAGCTGGGATTAATGCTGGGATCCTGGTCGGGACCTTCCCTGTAGGGTGGCCTCTGGGTCGGAGCTCTTAGGCCCTGAGACATGATAAAATGAGACTTTACTCCCTGTCCTCACCCAGTGATGCTCAGTGGATTCTGGAAGCCAGTGGTTCTCAGACTCTTTGATTCTGTTAATTGTAGGAGGTGGAGAGGACTCCCTGATTTTTTCTTCATGAAGTAACTTCTATGCCCCTCACCCACCGTGGAAAGATGGGTTGCAAGTGTGTCCAGAGCTCCCCTACTGTGGGCAGTAAGACTGGTGATGACCATATCAATTCCGCCTAAGGGGAAACTGAGGCCTGGAGCAGGGCAAAGCCTCTGGAAACCCAGCCTTATTCCATTTCCCTGGTATTTCTCACTCACACATATGAGAGGCTTTAGTGCCTCTCTTTTTTTTCCCCCAGAGACCCTCAAATATCCTGTCATTCACAGAGTAGTCTCTCTGCATGCTTGTGATGCCCCTGTGATTTGAGTTCTTTTCCCTTGTTTTTTTCCTAACTCTACACACTTTTGTTTTAAAAACTGTGGTTTCTCATGAGTCCTGTTATCTCATTGATACCTCTCACCTCTGTGGTGAGGGGAAGAAATCGTATTTTCAGATGAATCTTAAAGGGCAAAGAAAAAAACCAAAATTTCCGTTTAAGTCTCATAATCAAGAAGAGGAGAAACAGAGCAAGAGAGAGAGAGAAAACTATGAGAACCCCCCCCCACCCTGTGATTATCAGCGCACACAGTCATCGAAAAAAAAATTGGATTATTAGAAGAGAGAGGTCTGTGGCTTCCACACCGTGGGTTTTCTTCTCGGTATAAAAGCAAAGTTGTTTTTGATATGTGACAGTTTCCCACAGGCCAGGCTGATCCTTTTCTGTCAGTCCACTTCATCAAGGTGAGTGTCCCCGCTCTCCCCCACCAGACGCAGGTCCAATGGAAGAGATGGCAATGAGGTAGGCACTGGAGGGTCAGGGGTCCTCCAGTATAGTCCAAACGCATGCAGCTACTGTGGTCCTGGTCGGGTAAGGTGTTTTTTTTAATAATAATAGTAATAATAAATGCCAGAAAAATTATAGGTAAAGTACTTAATCAATAATTGGGTGGAGGCAAAGATAAGTAAATTGATTTGTTGATAAGTAGGATTTTTAAAAAGATTTTATTTATTTATTATTAGAGAGAGAAAAAAGGAGGGAGAAAGAAAGGAAAGGAAACATTGATGTGTGAGAGAAACGTTAATCAGCTGCCTTTCACACGCCCCTAACTGGGGACCTGGCCCGCAACCCAAGAATGTGCCCTGACCGGGAATCAAACTGACAAACCTTTTGGTTTATAGGCTGACACCCAATCCACCAAACCACACCAGTCAGGGCAAATTTTTTAAAAATGTCAACTGCCGATCTTTATGAATTGCAGCACTTTAAACAACTTGAAACACTATCCAGGTATGCCTGGAAATTTCAACTACATCTTCTCACCTCTCTTCATCTCTTCTCTCTCGATATCTCCCATTCTTCTGTCTCTATTTGCCCTGTCTCACTCATTCTGTGTTTTTCTGCTCCTCTCTTTCTCTGTTTGTTTTCCTAGTACTCAGAATCTCCATCCTTCAGTCTTTATCTGCTCTGAGCATTTTCCTGCCTGTTTCCTCCATCTTGACCACACTCCTTCAGTCTCTTTTCCTCAGCCTTTCTCCCACCATCTCGCTTGCTCTCTTGTCTTGCCTTCCTCTCCCTGCCTTCCTACCCAGCATACAACACAGAATTTTATATACTATTATTGGCACTCAATAATAGTGTGTTGAGTAATGCTCGTGAGGACACTTAAATTTTATAAGAATGAGCGTCAATTCTGTTTGCTCCGATTGAAGGTGGATTGTGAGCTATCAGGTTAGGCTCAGGACTTAGCTGAACTTGTCCTCGTACTGTATGAAAGGAGACCCTCCTGTGGGACACTTCATACCATTGTCAATCATGGTTTAACTGTGTGGTCCTAGTCTCAGGATCATGTGCATGTGCGTGCGTGTGTGTGTGTGTGTGTGTGCGTGTTCATCCAGAGTCCATGTCCAGGAACAGAACAGGCTGTTCAAAGCTGGAGTGAGCTCATCCCTGCGGGCTTAGCAAGTACTCACTAAGTGTTAGCTGTTGGTATTTTTTTAACGAAATTAGAACCATGCTATCCATCATCTTTGTTCCTGCTTTATTCAATAAATAGGAGCATTTTTGTAGATCAAAAACTGTTTCAACATATGATTTTTCATGACTGTCAAAACTGTCCTCACATTGACATGAACCATAATTGGTTATACCAAATGCCTATCTTTGGCTATTTGGGTTGTTTCTAGTTTTTACCAAGGTCATCCCTGATTAATTCCTTGGATTTCTGAAAATGGAGTTGCTGGGGTAAAGTGTGTGTACATTTTTAAGGTTTCTGACACTATCTGCAAATTGTTCTTCCAAAAGGTTGTCCTGTCCTGCTTCCTCTACTCATGCTAACCTTGGGTGGGTATTATCATTTTTCAATCCTTTTTTAACATTACAGATAAGGAAAAATACTACCACATTGTTGAAATTTACATTCTTTGATTACTTACACTATTCGTTGACCATTTATGCTTTTGGAGGGTCTGGTGTCCTTAGTCCTAATAGGGTGTTCATCTTTTTTCTTATTGATTTATAACATTTAGAAAGGATATTTATTTAGAAAGGGTATTAACCTCCTATCAGCCATGCATATATATCAAATATTTGCTTTTTCTATTTTTTCACAGTGTTTTGCGGTACTTGTGATGTTTTTATATAGTCAAATAGTTTAGTCTTTTCTTCTGTGGTTACTGTCTCTGGTTTTGTGCTTAGAAAGTCCTTTCCCACTTGAAAATGAGATAAATGTTCACACGTGTTGGCTTCTAGTCCCTTTTATGGCTTTATTTTTTCCATTTACTGTAGAGATTAAAACTGTCTGGGACAAACCAACACTTACCCCAACCCATCTGTGTGAATTTTAACTAGGTATTTAAATTCTCTGTATCTCCATTTCCTCATACATACTGTGATGGTTATAATAGTACCTGCCTCAGAGATGGTTGTGAGGATTAAATCTATTAACAATATTAAGTACTTAGCATAGGACCTGGAATACAATAAATTCAAGGTCCATATTAGATATTATTATTTATCTTTTTAATGGATCTAGAATTTATTTTAGTATATATGATGATGCTGACATTTCAAACTGGGCAGGGAGGGGTTACTTGGCAAATGAACTGATTATTCATTCAATAACTTTATTTTCCCTTAATTATCCCAGAAATGGGGGTTAACCAATTTATCCTACACTGTCCCCCAGTTTGAAATGTCACCTTCATCACAAACTTCGTTCCCTCTAGCCGTGGGTCTGTGTTTGAGCTTTCTATTCTGTTCTGTTCCTCGGTGTCTGCTCTTATACCAGAACTACACCACTTTGTTGATCGTTGCTTTGCATTACCATACCATACCATACCATATCATACCATACCATACCATACCATACCATACCATACCATACCATACCATACCATACCATACCCAGACCTGGGTGTGGCACCCATCTTGCCTCATCATTTCACGCAGCATCAGTTCCTCCAGCCAGAGGCCAGCAATTGTTCTTATTTGGAGCACATCTCTCTCTCTCTCTCTCTCTCTCTCTCTCTATATATATATATATATATATATATATATATATATATATATATACACACACACATACATACATACACATATATATATGGGGAGACATATACACACACACACACTACACATATACATGCACACACATATGAATGCTATTGGTCCCACACACACACTCTGTCTCTCCTTTTCTCAGTGTCTATCTCTGTCCCACTTCAGGTCTCTCCCATTTCTCTTTGTATCTCTTTTCATCCATCTCTCCCTTCCCCTATATCTGTCTGTTTCCATCTCTATGTATCTCTATGTATCCCTGTCTCTCAGTTCCCTTGATAGAAGGGCAGTTGTTTACTTGAAACCCTGTAGACAACTAACAAATCATCCTGACACAGAGTAGAAGGGCCGTGGCGCTCACCTACTCCGTATTTCTCCCTTTCCCAGTGTAGAAGAGGAGGAAACTGAGGCCCAGAGATGGGTGGGAGGGCCTCTTCCAGGTCCTCACAGAGATGCAGGGGCAGAATTGAGACCCAAGCTTAGATCTTAGGACTCTCATGGGGACTCTGGCTCTCTTTCTTTCCCCAACTGTGGGTCTCAGTTACTTCTCAGCATCTATGACAGGACAAGGTGACCTGGGCTACTCCCCAGCTGCTGCCATTCCCCATTCTGCCTTCTCACAGGTGGAACCCTCACTGAAGCAAGAGGATCCATGGTCACAGTATGGGGCTCAGCTTCCCCAGAGCTGGGCTGGATGGAGTCCTGGGGCCTCATGGGTCAGGAGGCCTTGTGGGGAAAGGGTGGTGTTACTGGGAGGACATCAGTCAATGGGTCTGGCTATGGACAGAGTTCAGCCATGTTCCCATAGTTGGCCCTAGTTCCTGGGAACCTCCATCCCAGGGCCCTTCCAGAGAGCCTGGTGGTGGGATCTCTACTGGCAAAGGCAAGGGCTTTTCCTGCTCTCCACCATGAGACCCTCGCCAGAGGTGTCCCAGACTCAATCTCCCCTGTCTTCTCTCCCCATCTCTGGCAGAGTGGCTGTGATTCTAGGAACATTGTCCCAAAATAGACAGGGAGATGGACAGGTAGTGTCCATTCACTGATCACTGACATTTGACTGTTTCATGTGCATTGACTTTGGAAGATGGGTACTGTTATTGTCCCACTTTACATATGAGCCTGGGGAGAGTTGTAGCTGGTTAGTGGCAGAGCCTGGCCCCAGGCCAGGGGGAGTAGAGGGGGTAATTCTGCCTTCACAGAACTTAGGAGGGAGGCTGAGGGTAGGTTTACTGCAATTCCAGGCCTGTTAGGTGGGAGGCCCAATGAAGTAGTCAGCTTTCTGTCCTTTAGAGACTTCCAGTGAGTTTGAATACCAGGGATTCTGACCTTCACATACTGAGAAGTTGGCCATATAGGTCCCAGAAAGTCTGTGAGTTTGAGATTCTGGGATCATTTGAATCTAAGAAATGATGTTCTGTGATTCTGAGGTTCTGGCATAGTACCATTTAAAGACCCTGAGGGTCCCAGTATCTGTGGGATCGGCATGGCACTCCCTAAACTTCAAATCTTGGACTTATCCCTAACCAAGAAGGGCCAGGTCTGCAGGGCCCAGGGCTTGTCATGGTGGCCAGATGGACGTCACTCACCACATCCGCCGGCACCCACATCACCACACCTGGGCCAAGCCAGGTGCAGGATGGGCCAGCCAATTCTCGGAACGAAACCTGTGGGGTGGGGTGTCTGCCCCTTTGTCTTCCTCCTTGGTGCCGATGAAGCCCAATGCATCCGGCCGCCATGACGTCAATGGCGGAAAAATGTGGGGAAGTCAGAGGCTCTGACAACAGGGCCCAGATGCAGACCCCGATATGAAAATACAATCTATGTCCCAGAAACATCCTCCATGTGTCTTCTGAGAAATAGTCAAAAAGGGACGCCCCAACAGACAGTGCAGGAAGCTGGCTGCCCAAGCCCGGCCCTCCAGTACCCCACCACTAGACAGACCATATCCATGTCTCCTTTCTGAGAATGTATCTCTGCTTCCCTGAGTTGAGCCATTCCAGATGTGTTTGAGTAGGAGATTCCTTATAAAGTCCAGGCAGCTTCAGAAGTGACCATAAGCCATCTCTGTGGACCAAGCCAGAGGAGTGGAAAACATCCACTCATTCACTCACTCACTCACCAAAATTGCTACTAGTTTGCTCCAGCTTCTGTAATGAAGTACCACAAACTGGGTGACTTAAACAACAGAAATTTATTGTCTCAGTTCTGGAGGCCTGATATCCTAGATCAAGGTGATGACAGGGTTGGCTCCTTCTAGGGCCGTGAGGAAGAAAGTATGCATGCCTCCTTCCCAGCTTCTCATGATTTGCTGAGAATTTTTGGCATTCCTTGACTTCTAGAAGCATCACCCTGATCTCTACTTTCATTCATTCACTCATTCTTTCGCTTGCCTCCTCATGGTCACTGATGTTCTCTCAGGCCCTTGTTTTGAGCCTACACAGACCCAAACTCCTATTTCTCACTGTATAGTTCTAACCCCCAGAGGAGACTAAGAGTTGTGTATTTAGATTTTCACCCCCACCTCCCTGAGCACCACAGCTCTGACAACCCCCATGGGCTGATAGCAAAGAAAGGAAGGAGCAACTTCTCCCCCAGAACCCTTCTTGTATTCTCTTGGGCTGTTCTCAGCAGCTCTGTGCCCAATGCTGTGCTGTAGGTGGGATAGGGAGACACACATACATACAGCCCCAGTAGGGTACATGTGTAATAGATACACACACACACACACACACACACACACACTTTCTGGAGAAAGAAGTGGAGCTCTCAAGTCACCATGAGACTGTGGAATGCTGTACCTAGGTGTCCCCTTCAATAAAATGGAGATTGGATGAGGCATTCCCTTCCAGCTCTGACTTCCTTTCACGCTGGGATTATGGGATTCTGAGAAACTAAGGCCCTACACTTGGGGAGTTTGGGGTTCTGGAGCCATTATGACAGGCTTTCTGGATTGGCCTTGGATAGGGGAAGAGAAATAAGAGAGGGCATTCCAGGCAAGCCAAACAGCATACTCAAAGACTTGAAGGTCAGCTGGGGATAAATTCCTGTGAGGGCTGAGTCAAGGAGCTTCCACAGGTGCCGGGTCAAGAGAGATAGTCTCTCCTTCTCTCTGGCACCCTCCATGCCAGTTCTGTGCAGAGCAAAACCCAGAGGTGACCAGACCCTCCCTACCTCTGCCTGAACTCTAGACTCCTTTACCCATGTGCTCACTCAGCATTTCCACTCATATGTCTAATGCCAGACTCTTCATGTCCATTCACACCTGGATCATCACCCCTTTACCCAGCTCCCCTCATTTCTGCCATCTCACATCACATCAGCTCTGTCCCTCCAGCTTCTCAGGCTAGTACCCAGAAGTCACCTTGACCCTCGCTCTCTTACCCCCAGATCCAAGCTACCAGAAAATTCTCCTGGCTCCACCTTCCAAACATACTCAGAATCCACCCACTTCTCATCATCTTGCTACTGTCCTGGTCTGTGCCACCATCATCATTTACCTGGCCTGTTGCCTGGTAAATGCTTCTCTGCTTCTGTCCTTGTCTTCCTAGAGTCTGTCCCTCTCACAGCAGCCACAGGGATCTTTTGAGTCCATGCCCCCCTGCCACTCAAGTCCCAAATACTGTCCCAAATACACTCAAGTCACTGGGGTAAAATAATGCTTCCAGGAGAAAATCACAGATCAGCTCCAGTGGGATCAGTAAAGGTTGTGTGGCCTATACCAGATACAGGGAGGACCAGAGGGCTAAGGCCTGAAGACAAGCCTCATGTGATGGGGGAAGGAGCTGAGACCTACCCTTGCTGAGGCCCGACAAACCACCCCAAACCCCCAACCTCTCTCTGGAGGACACATCCCTACCAGGGCTGTACCATCATGTGCAGCTATGTGCTATCCCTTTGCAAGACTGCACATGGGGCATGTGTTCCAACACATGCACACCTGTGTTCCTGACAACAGTGTGTGTAAGCACATGCATGTGCACGCACACATGACCAGAGCTGAAGTCCAGTTGTGGCAGTTGTGGGACTTTTTGGGACATGTCCCAGCCAATGCTCTCTCTGACCAGAGGGGGTGTCCGCATGATTCGGGTGGTTGGGTATTTTGCACACCCCTCAGCACATGTATAACTCTTTCCCCCTGTGTCTCCACAGCCTGACCTCGGACACAGACCCAATGCCCAACCCCAAGCCAGCCAAGCCCTCGGCCCCTTCCATGGTACTCAACCCATCCCCAGGAGCCTCACCCAGCTGGAGGGCTACACCCAAGGCCTCAGACCTGCTGGGGACCAAGGGCCCAGGGGCAACCTTCCAGGGCCGGGACCTCCGAGGTGGGGCACATGCCTCCACGTCCTGCTTGAACCCCATGCCACCATCACAGCTGCAGGTGAGGCCCAGGGCCCATGATGGAGCAAGCAGGGTGGAGTACCTGGGCTTACAGGTGCCGACCTTTTCTTTGGCACTGGGCGGGGGGCCCAGCTGGGGCACAGGAAGTGGTTTTCTGGGTCTCAGGCAAGTCTGTGACTTATGCAGATGTCACAGGGCCAAGAAAGTCCCCACTTAGCAGGTCTCAGATATTCAAGGCTCTCCCCAAACTCCCAATCCCTTTCTTCAGGAGAGGAAATCCTATCATAATCCCACAAGCATGGCCATGTGTCCTCATTCCCACGTGACAGAGGAAAGGTCTGGGGCCCAAGGAGGTGGGATGACAGAGTTGAGGCCAGCTCTGCCACGTATTAGTTTGTTGATCTTGAGAAAGTCACTCAGTTCCCCTGAGCCTGAGTTTCTACATAGGTATAAAGGAGACGGTCATAGTACGTACCATGGGGGCTTGTGGTGAGGAACATATGAATTTGACATGTAGAGCAGTGAGGCTGAAGATGGCATCACTCTTGCCTGCCTTCTCCCCCAGCTGCCCTCAGTGCCCCTCGTCATGGTGGCACCCTCTGGAGCACGGCTGGGTCCTTCACCCCACTTGCAAGCACTCCTCCAGGACAGGCCACACTTCATGCACCAGGTATCGACCTTGACTGGGCAGGGGTGTGAGAGAGCTGGTGGGGGAATTGGGGAGGGAGCTAGGCTGGACAACAGTCCATATGTGCCCCTAGCTCTCAACAGTGGATGCCCATACCCGGACCCCCATGCTGCAGGTGCACCCACTGGACAGCCCAGCTATGATCAGCCTCCCGCCACCCACAGCTGCCACTGGAATCTTCTCTCTCAAGGCCCGACCAGGCCTGCCACCTGGTAATACTACTCCCCACAGCTCCACAGAATGCTAGAGCCCCCAAGTCCTTGAATGTGAGCAGTGTAGGCTGCTGAACCATGGCCCTCAGGTGTCAGATGTCAGGTTTTATCATCTTGGAAACTCCAACCTCCAAAAAATGTCAGGCTCAGAACCTGAAAGACACATAACGTCAAAATCACGGAACCACAGATCTCTGCAGAGTTAGTGAAAAGGTCAGCTCTTACAAATGGCAGCCTTTGAGCTGCTCCGCCAGAAACCTTGGATGCTAGGAACACCAGAGGCTTAGGAGGGTGGGTAGCTCAAAGGAAGAGGCCTTGTGGGCCACGTTCCAGAACCCAGCCCATAGTATACAGAAGTCCCCTGTCCCTACCCACAGGGATCAATGTGGCCAGCCTGGAGTGGGTGTCCAGGGAACCAGCCCTGCTCTGCACCTTCCCAAGCCCCAGTGCACCCAGGAAAGACAGGTCAGTGGGCAGGGTTGGGATGGACCCTTGCCTTGCCATTCCTTCCCCTGACACCCTCTGTCCCCCCAGTACCCTTTCAACCATGCCCCAGGGCTCCTACTCACTGCTGGCAAATGGCGTGTGCAAGTGGCCCGGATGTGAAAAGGTCTTCGAGGAGCCAGAGGACTTCCTCAAGTGAGTGGCCCAGGCCCATTCCAGTTCAGGGGAGTCCCCACTCTGTGGAAGGAGGTCTCAGCTCAGGCCTCATCCTGATAGGTAGTAAGATAAAAGAGGCAAAGGCTGAGAGTGAGAATTCAAATCCAGGCTCTGTCACTTACTAGCTGTAAGATTTTGGGCAAGTTACTTAGTTTCTCTGGGACTTGGTTTTCTCATCTGTACATGGGGCATAATAGTGTGTACTATTATTTACTTCCATTTTACAGACAAAGAAATGGAGGCCAAAGAGGTTAAGTGTCTTGATCAAGATCACCCACTTCCTAAGCAACAGAGCTGGGATTTAAACACAGCCTCCAGAATATGCACTAACTGTTTTGCCCTGCAACCCCTCATGCCAACACACCAGCCTGATTTAGTCGATCCCCAAAGTCCCAGCTCCTCAAAATAGCTGTTGCTGCCTCTCTTTAGCTTCATAACACAAAAATACAACACACATACACACACCTTCTCCAATCCTACCCACCTATCAATGGTGATCTGTCCTCTTCACCACCAGGCCTGCCCTCTACCTGGAATGCCTTTCCTGCTCTCACCTCCCTGGCTGCTCCCAGCTTGCCACTCTTCCAACATCATCTCCAACACCCTGGCCAGGCTCAAGTGGCAAGCTCAGGTCTGGCACAAAGGAGATGCCAAGTAGCATGTGTTGAAGGAATGAGGGGTGTGAGAGGGAGACTGAGGTAGGGGGGTGGGAGGCTGAGACACCTCCCAGAGGGTCTGAGCCCTTCCCACTCAGAACATTGAGCCAATAGGCCAGGACCACCTGCATGGAATCTTCCCCCTCCCCAGGCACTGCCAGGCAGACCATCTCCTGGACGAGAAGGGCAGGGCACAGTGTCTCCTCCAGAAAGAGGTGGTGCAGTCTCTGGAGCAGCAGGTGACATGGAACATGGGGTAATGGTGGGGGGATGGTGGGCGAACCTTATGCCCACCCTATACCCGAAGCCAAGCTCACTGAGGATGGGGCTAGCATGAAGAGAGGAAGTGGAAACGGCACTCCCAGGGAAGACCATAGCCTGTGCAGGGGTGGTGGAAAAAGGCCAGGTTGAGACCTCACTTTGTACCTGTCCTCACAGCTGATAGTGGAGAAGGAGAAGCTGGGTGCTATGCAGGCCCACCTGGCTGGGAAGATGGCCCTGACCAAGGCTCCATCTGTGGTAAGCTACCCTAGGCTTGATATTGGCACAGACTGCTGGGGAAAGGGGGTAGAGAAGAGGCCCTGCAGGGTGCAGGGGACCTATCCTTACATCCAAGCCCTGGGATCTCTGAACCCGTTTTCAGCTCCAAACATGCCCAAACTTGAGAATCTATCCCCTTCCCCTCACAAACCCTCTAACCCTAACCTCTTAAAACACCGTAATCTCGTTTTCAAAACAAAAGCAAATAGCTAGACACTGAACACAGACCGTGTGTCACTGGCAGGACCGTCAATATAACTTGCTGGGCCCAGGGCAAAATGAAAATGCAGGGCTTAAATTTCAATATGGCAACTGCAGAGCATTAAACAAAGTACAGAACCCTGTGTGGCTGTACAGGTAACATGCCCACGAGGGGTCCCTGAGTGACAGGTACTGCTTCTGAACACTTTGCTGGTATGAACTTATTCAGTCCTCATGATGCCACTGTAACATGGGCATTGCTATCATCCCTAACCCACAGATGAGGTTACACTGAGGCCAGGCACATTGAAGTGACTCTCCCAAGGTTGGGTAGTAGAGGAGCTCGATTCAACCCCAGCCTGTGGCCCCAGCATTGGTGAGCTACACACACTAGTGTCCACACCACGTTGTGAAAAATATGGCTCATGCTGCTTTGTGGGAATACACATCAGCCTGGAGTTCAGAAGAGGGCGCCCTTGCTTTTTAAAAAACACTTAATTATTTAAAATTTAAGTGGAAAGTTTCAGCCTCTGGGTCACCAGCCTCTCCCTCCCCACCCTCCCCAGGTGTCATCTGACAAGGGCTCCTGCTGTGTTGTAGCTACTGGCACCCCGGGCACCACCATTCCGGCCTGGTCCAGCCCCCAGGAGGGCCCCAATGGCCTGTTTGCTGTGCGGAGGCACCTCTGGGGCAGCCATGGACATAGCACATTCCCAGGTAAGGATGGTCTGTGCCCTGCATGGTGTCCCTGAACCCCTAATCCCCAGGCTGGCATCAAATTGGGGTGGGGGATCTCCACACTGCTTTTCCCTACCACCAGTACCTGGCCTTTGGAAAAACACATCCGTTTGAAGAAGTTTCCTCTTGGGGTTTCCGTAGCCTGCAAGCTCCCATTATGGTCTCAGATGTGTAGCCCTGTCTCCCCTGGGGATTGGGGCTTGCACACTATCCTGGGGGTTGGGGCTTCAGCTATTCCGTTTGGTCATCAGATGGGAGGGAACTACCTATGTAGTTTCTAGGGACTCTCGCTCTCCCCTCAGCCAAGGGAAAGTGGGGCAATTCATCCAAGTTCGCCAATCCCCTACTACACAGAAGACCTAGCTGGTTGGTGGGTTTAACAGGGATCAGGACCCTCAAGTATTATGCTGGTTCTGTCACCAAACCAGTTACATCCTTTTGGTGTGCAGGTTACTTCCCTCCTTTTAAACCTCATAGAAAATAAGCCCCATTTTTGTGGGAGTGGTATAGAGAGTGATACAAGTCATGTCAGGTACTCAGCAAACAGTATTTGTGATCATGAAGAGTGGAGGGTATGAGAGAGCATGGGGGTGGGGTTAGATGGAGCCTGACTCTTCTCTTCCCTTGGACAGAGTTCTTCCATAACATGGACTACTTCAAGTTCCACAACATGCGGCCCCCATTCACCTACGCCACCCTCATCCGCTGGGTAAGCAGGCAGCTCAGGCCAAGGAGAAGGAAGAGAAAGAGGGGGTGGGGACCTGCCTCCCAAAGTCCCAGCCTCCCTCTAAGCACCCCCAGGGAAGATTCCTGCATGGAAAAAAACAAAAAAAGCATGCTTCAGGTGTAAAGCCCTATGCTGGCTTCACCCCGGACCCGCTCTTAAACCTCAACCTAAATCATCATCCAGGCCAGGGCAAGCCAAATTCGGGCCGTAAACCCATTCCTTTTCACCTCATCCCCATACCTATTCTGCCTTCCTGACCTATAAAATCCCCCCAAAACTAACCTGATCTCTGCCCTTTGCCCTGAACCTTTTCCAGGTATTGCTCTAATTCCTTCCCCAGCCGCAATATGTCAACACATCCCCCAGCTGGACCCCATCCCTAGCCTCTTCATTGTAACACCTATCTGACCCTTAACCTCACCCCATCCCAACCCCTTCATCTGAATCTCCCCAATGCCTTCCCAGAACCTTCACCAGAGCCCACCTGGACTTTCATCCTAGGCCCACGCCTAATGCCAATTCTGAATCTTAACCTAATTCCTATGCAATGCTTCACAGTCCTCTACCCAGACCCATCCTGACCCCTAACCTCATTGAAGTTGTAATCACTGCCCCCTTAACTTAACCCCATTCCTAAATCCAAACAGATCAAATTCCCTGACTCTTAGCTTCACTCCACAACTAACCCCATCCCTGCCCCTTAACAACTATACACAACTAACCTCAATTTCACCACAACTACCTTCATTCTTGACCCTGAACCTAACTATATCCTTGGCCTATAAAATAACTAAATAACTAGGCTTATCTCAGACTCCTAACCTAATGCCACACATCATCCTGTCACATGCCCTTCAAATAGCCCTAGTCCATCCCAGCCTGAATCTAACCAACCCCTTCCCTGATTTTTAGCTCTGCCTGGCCCTTTACCCCTTCCAAATCCTTAACTTGACCCCATTCCTGGCCTTTAACCTTCCAAAACCTTGAAATCTCACCACTTAGAGAACCCCCACTCCACCTCCACCCCAGACCTTTAACCTAACTCCAGCCCTAACCCTGAGCTAGGTCCTGCTCCAACCTCAGCCCTGATCCCTTATGTAACCCCATCCCAGCCAATTTTTACCCCACTTTTAACCTTGTGTCTAATCCATTGCCTGTATACCATCACTCTCCCTCCCTTCTCCTGTTCCCACAATTCCACCCCATGTCAGATGGCCCAGGGTAGGCCACTGTCCCTCTCAGCCCAAATTTAGAGGAGCATCTCCCCTTACTACCACACACCCTAACTTCTAGGCCATACTGGAGGCTCCTGAGAAGCAGCGGACACTCAACGAGATCTATCACTGGTTTACACGCATGTTTGCCTTCTTCAGAAATCACCCCGCCACCTGGAAGGTTAGTGCCTCTGGAGGTGGCAGGGCTGGAATAGCCTCAAGTGCCACCGCGGTGCTGGGCCAAGCTGGGAAGGCCTGGGGCTAAGCTTTCAAATGTGATGGGAAGGGGCAAGATGTTGGTTTTGGGTAGGGACTGCTGCGCTCAGAGGATGAATGCCCACCCAGTCCTCCTACCCGCTGCCTGACTGGCTGGTCCTCCTTCCACAGAATGCCATACGCCACAACCTGAGCCTGCACAAGTGTTTTGTGCGAGTGGAGAGTGAAAAGGGGGCTGTGTGGACCGTGGATGAGTTTGAGTTCCGCAAGAAGAGGAGCCAGAGGCCCAGCAGGTGTTCCAATCCCATTCCTGGTCCCTGACCTCAAAACCAAGGAAAGAAGGAAGGACGGGGCCAAACTACAGGGCAAAAGTGACTAGGGGCAAGGTTAACAGGACTTGGACGTGCTCGCAGGAACCAATTAGTATGTGTGCTGACTTGCCTGCCTGGGACCCAACTACCTAGATGACTATCCCCCTGGATCTTATGCTGTGCACCAAGGCTGCTCAGAGGGGCCCCAGCCCTGCAAACCCACCCCTGACTCCACTCCAGCCCCTGCAACAGGCTCTCCAGGCAAACAAAATATTCACAATCAACCACACACGCACCCTCCCTCAGTCATTCACAGATGACCTCGGGCTAGAAAAAACACAGGTGCTCACAATACTGTCCATTAGACTCCTTACAAATTCTCAAATACAACGAGCCTGTCAGTACACTTCAAATCTGCACAGTTATACAGACAGTCACACCCAAGTAGTCTTGTCAACCCGCATACCCCAAAGCATACAACCACAGCCAGCCTTCGGGCCCTTTGGTGTACTGTTACATGAGGTGTGTCTTGACACCCACACAGAAGCAGCTTAGTGCCTTTAGGGTCTCAGGTTCTAGAAAGCCACAGGGACACATACTGCTCACACAGGGTCTCACACAGCTCCTGACACATAAGCTTGGTCACACAGCCCATTAAAACTCACCTGCACACCATACTCACACAGGCACATCCACACAGTGCCCCAGCGGGTTTCTTGAGTCCCATGCAGACACACATAGCCACATACACTTACTCGCCAAAATGTACCGTGTCTCACCCACCACCCACCCCTGCCCCACCCTGAGCCCTGTGCCCCCATCCATGCCTCAGCTTAGACTACAGACAGAATCCCTCTTTTATTTGGGATCCAAGGCCCCAACCCTCAGTATCCTCCCCAATAAACTGCAGCCAAGCTCCCACTTTCTGGATGTCTGCCCCAGATAAGGGTTGGGGTCAGGTGGGCAGGAGTCACCACAGTAGGAGGGACTTGGCAGGAAACACAGGACAAGCGCTTGGTCACCGCCTCCAACACCCCAAATTCCTGCTGAAGCCTGGGGTGGGGGAGACCTCTGCCCAGAGACCCTCAGGTCTCACGGACCCGCCCCAGGAGGCTGGCATTCTCCTGGCGAAGGGCCCGGTAGTCCTCTTGAATCTTCTCCAGGTTGCTGAGGGTCTTCTTGCCCATCTCCATCTCGATCTAAGGAACATGAATCACATCCCTTCAGTGAGCATGGCCTCTTTCCCAGCTCCTGCTCACCACACACTCTGTTACAGGCACTCAGGGCCCTTCCTGGGCTCCTCCCATCCAACCTCCGACAATAGCCTGCTCTGTCCCACTGCCAGGCCTTTGCATGTGTTGTCCCTACACCTAAAGCGTTGCTTGCTATGTAGCAGGATTACCCACCACATACTCAAGCTGAAGCCTCTGCCAGTGGCCCTGGGAGGCAGGCATATGAACCATCAGGACAGAAGCTGGAACTCAGAGTAGGCAACTTGACTGTCCCAGGTCAAGTGCATGGCTAAGGGGCAAGGCAGAGACTCCAGCCATAAGCTGTGTATGGTTCAATAGCCTGTCTTGGCACAAACCAAGGAGCTGTCCCCTGGCCTGCCTTGGTTTTCCCTCCCAGCCCTAGGCCTCACCTGCTCCTCAAGGTCGCGAACCTCCCGCATGATAGTGCCTGTGTCCTCAATGGTTTGGATAAGCTGGCTGCAGTTCTGGGGACAGTAGGAAGAAAAGACTTACACTCTAAACTGGCTCCTCCCAAGGCAGCCCCTGAGGCATGCTTCCCCCAATCACCTCATGCAAGGCAGCTAGATACTTGTAGGCCTTCCGAACAGCATCATCCTTCTTGGCATCCTGATCAGACAGAAAGGACCTCAAATCTATCAGTCGGATGCCCCTACCCCCCAACCCCCTACACACCACCTCCGGGAACCCACAAGGCCACCCTCTTCCACCCCCATGACTTCATCCCCCAGGGAGCAAAGCCAGGCCCCAGCATCAGTGTACCTACAAGTCTCACACAGGGCCCAGGCCAAGTTGGCCCATGAACAGATGGGCAGGCAGCAGCCCAGCCCCACACCACCCCTCTATCTGCCCCATCTGCCTCACACCTTGAACACAAGTTCATCAGTCACCGCAAATGTCCGGTCCAGCTTCCCAGTCAGAGAGTTGATTTCCTTCTGAAGCTCCTTTGTGTCAGACAAGATCTAGCAGAGATCAGGGCCATGAGCCTATGTCTGGGGTGGGACGGCTGACCGACTAAGGGCATTCATGTGCATGCACTCACATCCAGACAGGGCCTATGTCAGTGTGTCAGGGGTGGCTGGAGTGGACTGTGTGGGACTGTTCTGGGTCATGGTGTAGCCAGATAGCTCTACCTGTCAGAGGGCGCCTGAGGTCCCTATGTGGCCATGCTATACACATCTGCCCTTTGGACATGTCTGCCCATATGACCCACCCTCTAAGACCATGGCAGCATACCTTAGTAATCTCTTCCTTCTGCTTCCGGATGTTTCCCACTATCTCCAGGATACGCTGGGTATAGGCCAGCCTGGACACGTCTTTGGGCAGGGTCTCCAGCTCAGACACCTAAGTAGAGACACAGCAGACACTCCCCCAGGACCCATACCTAATGCACTCTGAGCCACCCAGGGCCCTGGCACGGGCCTTACCAGCTGCTTATAGACCTCCTCTTTCCTGCGGGCCTCCTCGGCAGCTGCCCGAACACTCTGGTGCAGCTCTTGAATCTCTGCCAGCCGTCGAGAAGATTCCAGCTGCCAGGACCCCATGGGTACAGGGCAGTGAGCAAAGCTCAGGGATGGCCCCCTAGGAAAATACCAAACCTGCCCCACCCACAGCCCAGGACCCCACCACTTACCTCTCTGCAATCCTGGAGCTTTCGTAGATGGCGGTATTCAGCAAGGAGAGGGACCCGGTGCTTTTCCCACTGGCCCGCCAAATGGATGACCCGCTGGGCACTGCTCTCTACCACAAGCTGGGAATGGTGGTAGGAGGGTACAGGTCATACAGGCTGGGCCCTTCCACCTCTGACCCTCCTGGTCCAGCCCCAGTACCAGCCCTACCTGCAGCTTGGCAAGGTTGGCAACCCCGTCTGGCAGCAGCTCCACCGCCCGGCTCTTTAGGCGCAGGGCCTGCTCCCTCTCCGCTGTGCTGAGCTCACTCTGCCGACACTTGGCCTCCACCTGGTACCCCAAGACTCAGTATCAGTTGGTGGGGGAGCTCAAATACATACCGCAGGCTCCTAGCCCACACTGAGCCTGGAAAGCCCTGGCCTAGCCCAAGCCCCCATAGATGATGACATACCCCTCTGGCCCCTATGAAGTTCGTGACCCCCTTCTGATATTGACAGAGACCTATAGGCACCAATGGGCACCCAGAGGCCCCTATGATGTCTCCACCTCCACACTTACCCCCAGAAGCCCTGATGAGCCCCATAAGCTCCTGCCTGTACCGATCCATCATGCCCCACAGATGCCCAGAAATGCCCACAAACCTCCTAAATCTCACAGACACCCACAAGGCCTGACTAATGCCCACAGACGCCTTTCACACCCACAGGTCCACCAAGCCCTGGAACCATACATCCCCCTGACACCCTCACTGATTCTCCTGAACTCTCAAGAACCCCACATATCCCCACAAAGGCCCTCATGAACCCTTCTGACATCTGCAGACCTCTACGGAGTACCTCTCATCCTTCTCAAGTCCCCCAAAGCCCTCTAGGCTAGACTTGTGACCTGACCCCAGACGGCATCCCCTCTACCACCCCCACCTGCGCAAGGCTGATTCCCAAGGTCTTCATGTTGGCTTCAACCTCTTCGATGTTGCGATTCACTCCCTCTAGCTGCTCCTGAAGGGCCTCCAGCTCCTGCTCCTGAGCTGCCCATGTGTCCTGAGAGGAACAGGCCAGTCAGGGTGGGGATGTCACACCCAGTAGACAGGCAAGAGCACAGGACACCCCTCACTGCTCCACTCACCTGTTCAGGCCACCGGGAGGTGGCTGGCACATCTGACACCTGAGCTGCTTGGGCCTCGGGCTCCTGGAGGAGGAGGAGGGGAGCATCCTCACTGTTGAAGAAGGCCTTGCCCCTCATAGCCCAGCCTAAACACCCCCCCAAAAGTATCCTTCTAACACCATACCTATGCCCACTCAACTGCTAATGACTACCAGGCTGTGACTATATGAGGATCAAGGAATTCTATGTGGCATCAGACTAGAATGTTTGCTCATAAAGAAACCTCCCTGATCCTGACAGCTTCTGCTCACCTGGCCCATCTCTGAAGCCCCAAGTTTCCATGAGAAGGATGAGCGCCCCTGTGGGTGACCATCCAAGGACAGAAGATATACCCGGAGGAAATTTCTTGGGGAAGCTTGGAGTTTGCACAATGAACACCCCTCTACCCTTATGGTTCCCACCCCTCAACCCTTTCTCCACTGAAGTCCCAGAGAAGTCAGTGGACCCCCTCTGGATACTAGCTCCTAGTGCAAAGAGGCCATGCCTGGTGGGAACATAGGCACTTGTGTGGATAAAGTATGATGTTCGTACATAAAGCAACCCTCCAAGCCAGTCTTGGCCCTATCAACATGCCCAATATCCATGCAGTCCCACCCACCAGAGAGAAGGTGAACTTCTCTGAATGTGTGAAGCGAGAGCCCTTAGGAACACCAGTTCTTGTCCCAGCACCCCAGGCCTGCAGCAGCTCTCCTAGGTCTCGGGCTTGTGGAGAGGGACCCAGCTGGCCCCACGTCTGACGCAGATACTCAGCCAGGTGCTTCTGCAGCCGCTGCCTCTGAGCCTGCCTGTCCTCCTGAAAACAGAGGGTAAGGTAAAAGGGTCAGGTATAGAAGCCCCCTGATCGCCCCAGGCCCTGCCTCCTCCAGGGAGCCACGTGACAAGGTGCTACTGACAAATCACACCCTCCAGCTTCTCCCACCAAGGGGGCACTGGACCCGCTCTCTTGGCTCATCAGTCTGGGAGCTCCCCCAGTGCAAGATCACCTCCTCATCATAGCCATGCTTCACCTACTCACTCCTCATACTAGAGGAGAATGTGGGAAGGTGGAGCAGTAAGCCTGCAGCCCCCAAATCAGAGAATGACGCAGAAAGAATATGTGGAAACAGGCAGAGACAAAGTCAGAGGTGCTGAGCAAAGGAGGAGGTGGAGGCAGAGAGTGGAAGTGAGAGAGAGAGATACAAGAACAGGAGCGGTTTGAGGACAACAGAGGAAATCTGATTATGAATGGTGCTAAGAGATCATCGTTAATTTTGTGAAGTAGGAAATGGCCCAGGGGTTACGTTAAAAAGTGAATGTCCTTATGAGTTAAGAGACATATGCTTAAGCATTCAGAGTTGAAATGACATGTCTGGGATTTGCTTTAAAGTGAAACTGAAAAAAAGTTGGAGGAAGGAACAAGTATGAAAGACACAGGGATGAGGACTGGGGGGGTGGAAATGGGAGGGAGGTGGGGAGACGGGGTGGGGGGGCTGGGATGGGAGAAATAGACAAAAAAAACTGTACTTGAAAAATAATTAAATAAAAAATTTTAAAAAAAGTTAGAGGAGACTAGATGAAGAAAGATTAGCACAATGCTTATAGTTGAAGGTGGGTGACAGGTACATAGGACTCATTAGAATGTTATGTCTACCTCTGTATTTGAAATTTTCTGTAAGTTTAAAAAAGACAGAAATAAAGATAGAACACGTGGCGGGGGGGAGCGGA